TAGGGAACGAACTTGCTCACAGCGATCACAAAGAAATTAGATTCCAGTTAGAATTTCAGGACAGCCTTAAGGAAAATTCCACTAAGGTCCCAGATTTCAGTAGGGCAAACTTTGATAGTTTGAAGAGGCAGCTGAGAGAAGAGGATGAATGGATGAGTGGAACAAGTTACCAAACATCATCATTAACTCTAATACGCTGGATAGCTTCAAACATCGGTTGGATGGATATATGAGCGATTGGGGTTGGCTGTAAATGGGACTGCCCAGTATGGGCCAATAGGCCCGCTGTAATTTCCTCCATTCTTATGCTCGTAAGACAGGTGTGGCTAAGGTGAGTCTGGTCAGATGACAGGTGTGGCTAAGATGAGTGGTCAGGTGACAGGTGTGGCTAAGGTGAGTCTGGTTGTGACAGGTGTGGCTGGTCAGGTGACAGCCTCTCTCTCTCCCCCTCCCTAACCTCCCCCCTCCTCTATCAACCTTCTCCCTCAACAGAGATAAGAACATAAAAATAGAAAGAGAACTGCATGGGCCTATTAGGCGGTCCCGTTTTACACCCTTCTTACCTCTCATAACTTATGTTTGAAGCTATCCAGCGTATTAGAGTTAATGATGATGTTTGGTAACTTGTTCCACTCGTCCACTACTCTAATTCCACTACTCTAATTTAAAACCATTGTTACGAATTTGCTCGTGGTTGAATAGTTTGAGTACCTCTGTAATGTCCCCTTTGTTTAGCCCTGACTTCCAGTTATACACCTCTATCATATCGCCCCTCGCTCTACGTCTCTCGAGGGAGTGCAAATTAAGATGCTTTAACCTGTCTCTGTACTCAAGGTTCCCAATGCCCGGGATTAGTCTTGTCACCCCACGTGGACACAACGAACACCACATTTTAACTTAGGGTTAATTCATGTTAACTTTGGTACAGATCACAGCTCTTGATAATTTGGGGTTAATTTGTGTTAACTTAAGGTACGGAACATCGTAACAGGTGACGTTAATTTGGTTAATATATGTTAACTTTAGTCTAGGACGCACTAAAACATCTTTAATGGTTCATGTTAACTATACCACAAGACCAAACTGATGTTTATATTAACTGCACGACGCGGCAACATCTTTAACTTGAAATTTATTAACTAAACCCAAAACTTTTGTTAAATCATGTTAAATTACCCCTCAACACACCACAACCAATCATGTTAATTTATTCCTTACGTGTACAACCTATGTTAAATCATGTTAACTTACCCATAACATCTACAACTTGTGTTAGATAATGTTAATTTACCCACAGAACATAGCACAATCTCGCCAAGCTTGTATTTAATTACATCAAATCGGGAGGGGAGGGAGGGGGTGGGGGCAGTGTGGAGGGAGAGCAGTAGACAGGTGATGATAACTGGCACAATACCTGGTGAATGAGTGGTGATGGTGGTGGTAGTGTACTGCATCAGGTGTTAGGTGAAGCTGTTCCTGTGTTGCACAATGATCTGGTCTGCTGAATGAGAGCAACTTGGTGTGTGTGTGTGTGTGTGTGTGCGTGTGTGTGTGTGCATGTGTGCGTGTGTGTGTGTCTGTGAGCCCAGCTGGTGAACCGGCTGACTTCACCTCCACCACACACTTTTTCTCCCTCATCTTACACCACCATAGATTCACTCCCTCCCTCCCTCCCCCCAACACACTCTTCCTCTCAACACACTTTTCTCACAACACACTCCCAGACGCCACCACCACACACTCCTCCAGTACCCCAGAACACGATCCGTAAATAGAATAACATCCAGGTTCCAAAGTACTGTTGAGTAGTCGGGGGCAAATGGTGTCAAGAAATATCCCCTTATGGTCCTGGGATGGAACGTGGGACCACTCACTTGCGAGGCGAGTGTGCTGACCACAGTACAGTACACACAGGTCCTCCCAGGGTGTCGTGTCGTCACTGAGGAATATACTTTGTAAGAATAATTTGCTGTTACAATAATAAGGTTGAGAAAGTTGAGTTTGCATCAGTGTGTGTGTGTGTGTGTGCGCGCGCGTAGTGTGTGTGTGTGTGCGTGCGTAGTGTGTGCGCGTAGTGTGTGTGTGTGTGTGCGCGTAGTGTGTGTGCGCTCGCGTAGTGTGTGTGTGTGATAGTCATACCGCCACCCCTCCGCCCTACTTCACACGACGGGTTCACAGGGGCGGTACTTTGTGACTGTGTGGAGGATTCGGGCGGTACACACACACACACACACACCACACACACCACACACACACACACACACACACACACACACACACACACACACACACACACACACACACTTTCTCTTCAAAAGTCCATTAGCATCAAGCACATATTTTGTTCCACTGACAGAGTATAAACAGGGGTTAGCGTGACGAGGAGTGTTTATTGAACTCCTGGAGAGAGAGAGAGAGGTTAGGTTAGGTCAGGATAGGTTAGTTTTAATTATATCATGTTAGGATAGATTAAGTTATGTTTGGTTAGGTTAGTTTAGGCTGTGTTGTACTGGATAAGGTTACCCCTAACTCCACCCATGGCCTCCCTGCCTCCCTCACTACGCCCATGCCCTCCCTCACTACGCTCATGCCCTCGTCGCCGCAACATTAGGGCATCTCTTGGTCCAGCAGCAGCATCCGGCTGTTACTTTCACCTCACCTCAGCGTCTCTCTCTCTCTCTCTCTCTCTCTCTCTCTCTCTCTCTCTCCTCCTCTGTAGTCTTGTTGTCTTGGTCATCAGCTCTGATTTCTACGATTTCTTGTCTTTCTCTACACACACAGACACACACACACACACACACACACACACAGACACACACACACACACACACACACACACACACACACACACACACACACACACACACACACACACACACACACACACACACACACACACACTGTATACACGAGAGGAAGAGATGAATGGGTGGATGTGTACACCATCCCACATGTCGCCCGAGAGGTGATGTTGACACAAATCAGCTGGTGCCAGGTAGGCCGGCAAGGTGTAGTGAGGGGGGCCGCGGACAGAGACTCCTTCACGATGACTTTTTCCGTGTCAACGTAGCGGTATTTATAAATTATATTCTCGTTTACATTAAGATTATAATATAGAGCTGACCTTTTATTTTATCCAATTAGTGACTTGTACTTATTTTGGTGGAGTGAATCAGTGTTTGTACAGTTAAGAATGAGAGGGAGGGAGGGAGAATGTGGGGGGGGGGTATGGTAGCGTTAGTACACATTCCTGACCAGTGTCTGAAAGTAGTAGTGAGTGTGGCAGCCCGACATTCACTCCCCACCAGCCATCCTGACCACCCCCAGCTGGCTCCTGGAGGGTGGGGTGGCTGTAATCTCACCTTTCCCTTATCATACACTCACCTCATCTATAAAATCAATCAACATTTCTGGTCTATTCTTACCAGTTCCCGCCACACCTTCACTACAAACCACATTCAACTTAATTTTTTACTACATTTTGACATTTTTTCTCCACATTACACATCCTGACTACCACACACGCCTTACTTAGACACTGGTCAATGGGTGTTACTTTTTTTTCATGGTGTTGTAATTTCCTCCCCAGACTGCCATTGTTTTCGGTCGTGATATTCATAATTGATTCTATACGTGTTATCTCACCTTAAACACCTTCTTATACGTGTTATCTCACCTTAAACACCTTCCTATACGTGTTATCTCACCTTAAACACCTTCCTATACGTGTTATCTCACCTTAAACACCTTCTTATACGTGTTATCTCACCTTAAACACCTTCCTATACGTGTTATCTCACCTTAAACACCTTCCTATACGTGTTATCTCACCTTAAACACCTTCCTATACGTGTTATCTCACCTTAAACACCTTCCTATACGTGTTATCTCACCTTAAACACCTTCCTATACGTGTTATCTCACCTTAATACACCTCCCCCGGTCTTGACACGCGACCCCTTAAACAAGAACAAGGGTTTTTTTTGTCTGTTTCGTCAATTTTCGTTATTTTTCGTTGTTTATATTCATAGTTTTCTAATTTATTCAGTTATGTCTGATTTTTTTTCTTAGCCAGATGAAGCACAAGTTACATTTAACCTGACCTCTCTATTGTTTATCTTGAGGCACACACACACACACACACACACACACACACACACAAAATAACATAGGAATGGGGGAAACTGCAGCGGGCCTATTGGGCAGTCCCATATACACCCAACCCCTATTGCTCATATAAGCATCCAACCTATTTTTGAAGCTATCCAGCGTATTCGAGTTAATGATGATGTTTGGTTACTTGTTCCACTCGTCCACTACTCTATTTCCAAACCAATGTTTACCTATCTTGCGCCTAAATCTATTGTTACGAGTTTGCTCCTGGTTGGATAGTTTGAGTACCTCTGTAATGTCCCCTTTGTTTAGCTCTGACTTCCATTTATACACCTCTATCATATCGTCCCTCACTCTACGTCTCTCGAGGGAGTGCAAATTAAGATGCTTTAACCTGTCTTTGTACTCAAGGTTCCCAATGCCCGGGATTAGTCTTGTCATTCTCCTCTGAATTCTTTCTAGGGATTCTATATCCATTCTGTAATACGGTGACCAGAACGGTGACCTCACTAGTCTTGTAACTAACACTCCTTTGTATGAACCCAAGTACTTTGTTAGCCTTGTTACGAGCAAATACACATTGTTTACTTGGCTTAAGATTCCTACTTATCATTACTCCTAAATCCTTCTCAGTCTGATTTCTCTATAACATCGTTGGTCATCTGGTATCTGGTTCCCCTGTTTACATCTCCTTGACTAAGTAATTTACATTTGTCCACATTGAATTTCACACACACACACAAGTTACGTTCAAGATAAGGTTACATGCATAGTAACCTAACAACTTTTCAATCAGTGTGTGTGTGTGTGTGTGTGTGTGTGTGTGTGTGTGTGTGTTAGAGGCTGCTGAACCAGTTTCTTGCCGTCTCAATTCTCACTGACGCCAGGAAGCAGGAAACGGTACGCTTCCAGATACAGGTATTGGTTATGGTACCTGTTTGACGTACCGGTATGGTCTCCTGGTATTGGTGTGGTCTCCTGGTACTGGTGTGGTCTCCTATTACCGGTACAGTCCATCATGGTACCGGTAGAGCCCATCGTGGTACTGTATCGGTATGGCAGTGGTACACCTCGTCAGCTTGGTACTTGAGGCAGTGTTGAAGTCACCAGTCGAGTGTGTGTGTGTGTGTGTATTTATTTATATTATTATTATTATTGTTTATTATTATTATTATTATTATTATTGTTATTGTTGTCGTCGTCATCATCTGAGAGAAGGATTACAATAATTCGTTCCGTCACAACTCCCACCATTTTAACCCTGGATAAAGGGATACCCGAATTATCCACCCTGTAACAAAAGTAACTTAAGTAATACTATTTTACTTAACCAAACCTCGCGAGAGACTTACTTAAAAGGCGTGTGTTAAGTGATGGTGTGCAGGTGTGCTGTTTTTTGTGTAGAGAGGCGGAGTACACACCTGAAAAAACTAGTAACCCGTTGTTGATGATCTTACACGGACAGCAGGTGTATGTATGTGTGTGTGTGTGTGTGTGTGTGTGTGTGTGTGTGTGTGTGTGTGTGTGTTACAGGTAGAGAAATAATAATATTTACTTGATAATTACAAAAGGTTAATATATCAATAATTACTTGTGGAGTTATTTTATTTATTTTAACAAGATGAGGGTACAGGTGAGGGGTGAGGGGTGTGGTGAGGGATGTGGTGAGAGGTGTGGTGAGGGAGGACACACCTGTACTTAACCTTGTGTGTGCTTAGAGAGAGAGAGGTGACACTTCCGGTACGATATGTTACCTGTCTGACCACATCCCCTGTAGAGGCTCAGTGATGCGATGTATTAAGTGTTGTGGTGGTGGTTGTGGTAGTGGTGGTAGTAGTAGTAGTAGTGGTGGTAGTGATAGTGGTGGTAATAGGAGTTGTAGTATTATTATTAGTGATAGTGTTGGTGGTGATGGTAGTAGTAGTGGTAGGTACAACACACTGGTGATAGTTGTAGTACGAGTGACTTTTACTGTAGTGGTGGGTGTTGTTCACTACATAATGAGGCAACACTACAGTACTAACCTTACCTTGGGGGTTAGATTAGTACAGTATAGCGTTAGGTTAAGTTAGCGTTAGGTTAGGTGAAATAAACTGGGTTGTCTAATCTTCAAGTGAGCCGAGTAATAATGTTAAGTAATAGTTTGAGGAATGTTGTCTGTGCCTCAGTCCTGATGGTGAACGTTGGTCGGAAATAAATTAAATTCCTTGGAAGATTTGAACGTGTGAAGGATGCTGGGAGCCACACACAGTCTGGGCAGGTATGACTCACTTGGCCGCGGGGTTGCCTTACCTTAAACACCACCTCGTCTCTCCCTCTATGCCTCCTCCCCCCTCCCCATTCCCCTACACACCTACCCCCTACACCCTAGCATACCCACCAAAATCACCCATCAGTCACCACGAGCAACACCAGTCATCACCAAGTTCGGTCATCAGGGAGGCAGCCGTGGTTCAGGTGACTATACTGTGGTGGCCTGCATACCCAGCTCTCGGGGGCCACTTTACTCTAAATCATCCTCCCTCTTATAATTAAAACAAAGGGATATTTTCTCTCTATCTCTCTTTCTTTCTCTCCATAAATTGAAGTTATGTGTTTAGATAGTTTATAATTTATTATTTTTTGTTGTGAATTAATTTTTTTTAATGTGGTATCCATGGTGGTGGTGGAGCCAGTGGCCACAGTCAGCCCAGCCAGTCACTGACCACACCGCTGCGCCGCTCTTAACCCTATCTCCCTTCCACCTCCTCCTCATTACCAGTGTCTACCCATCGTTAACTCGTGCAACACCCGTAGAATCTTGTGTAGTGATATAAACTTACCGTGAATATCTCCAGGGGGGGAAAAAACCCGGAACGAAACGGGAAAAAAAGTTTCATGTGGGTATTTTTGGTGTGAAGGTTTTAGAGGGTGAGGTGGAGCAACATTCTGCAACACCACCACCCAACACCACCCACTACCACCACCCATCACGCCACCCACTACCACCACCCATCACGTTATTGTCATCATCAAACGGTAAGACCTACTGTGTTAATATAATATGTACCTATATATTACTTAACTCACCTTCATGATAGAGAGAATGAGACCTTGTATTGGCGGCACCATTATATAAAAAGCCATTAATTATATTGCAGTCACATACAAGCAGGATGAGAATACGTGTGTGTGTGTGTGTGTGTGTGTGTGTGTGTGTGTGTGTGTGTGTGTCTCGCCTAGATGCCCAGAATACCCTGTAGTAGGCCGTGGGCACCTTCAATACACGCGGGTATGAAACAGACCTTGTTAGGGTATAGCCTGTTAGACCTTCACCATCACCACTACTACCACCATCCCCCACCACTACTACCACCACTACCACCACCACCACCACTATCACCATCACCACCACTATCACCACTACCACCACCCCCCATCACCACCACTATCACCTGCGCCCTTGTCAACCAAGTCGTTCAGCATGCCAATGACATCTCAGGGCATGGTAGGGCATGACAATCCTTCTGGGGGTCAATGGAATGATGGGGGTTGGGCATGATCTGGGTATAGTGTCGGGTGAGGTGATAATTGTGGTAGTGATGGTGATAATTGTGGTAGTGATGGTGATAATTGTGGTAGTGATGGTGATAATTGTGGTAGTGATGGTGATAACAGTAGTAGTAATGGAAGTGTCGGTGGTAGTAGTTGAGAATCGTGGGAGTAATGGTAGTAGTTGTTGTGGTAGTGGTGTATAATTTATATAAACATAATTACAGCAATAACTATTAATTACATAACATAACAGGAGAGAGAGAGAGAGAGAGAGAGAGAGAGAGAGACGCCATTGAAAACAAAAGGCGATCGGGGTTAAGTTATATCACATTAGATCGCAAAGTTTAAACATTATTAACACCCCTGACATGACCACCTTACGTTAGATTAATTAGGTTAGGTTGAGTTAGGTTAGGTTAGGTGTTATATATCTGGTGGTAGACAGGCAGACGGGCAGTACGGCCAGTGTTTACCTTCAGTCCGTGTTGTTGATATAGTGAGTGTGTAGACGGTGGGGGCTGGTGGTGAGGTCTGAGGGCTGGTGGTGAGGTCTGAGGGCTGGTGGTGAGGTCTGAAGGCTGGTGGTGAGGTCTGAGGGCTGGTGGTGAGGTCTGAAGGCTGGTGGTGAGGTCTGAGGGCTGGTGGTGAGGTCTGAAGGCTGGTGGTGAGGTCTGAAGGAGGTCTGAAGGCTGGTGGTGAGGGCTGGTGGTGAGGTCTGAGGGCTGAGTGGTGAGGTCTGAGGCTGGTGGTGAGGTCTGAGGGCTGGTGGTGAGGTCTGAGGGCTGGTGGTGAGGTCTGAAGGCTGGTGGTGAGGTCTGAGGGCTGGTGGTGAGGTCTGAAGGCTGGTGGTGAGGGCTGGTGGTGAGGTCTGAGGCTGGTGGTGAGGTCTGAGGGCTGGTGGTGAGGTCTGAAGGCTGGTGGTGAGGTCTGAGGCTGGTGGTGAGGTCTGAAGGCTGGTGGTGAGGGCTGGTGGTGAGGTCTGAGAGCTGGTGGTGACGTTGGGGGCTGCAGGTGAGGCCTGGAGGCCACGGCCCCATATGTGGAAGGGGCAGCAGATGGCCTAATATGGCCTCCTGGACCAACCTTGCCCGTCTCACCTCACACCATAACCTCATTCATCCACCACACTACCACACCACCACACCACCACACCACCACACACCACACACCACACCACCACACCGTTATCACCCACACACCGACTCTTTATATTCCAACACACAAAAGCCTAAAATTATCCTCGTTTAGATACAAAAAATAGCTTGTTTAACGACCTCAGGTGACCATAGTTCTCTCCCACACACACCCACACACACACACACACACACACACACACACACACACACACACACACACGCACCTGGGTGGAGTCCTTCAGTCAGGTCAACCTTTAACTAATTAAGAGTTAATCCCACCATCACACCTGTTATGTGCGTTCACCTTATAACTCTAATTAGTCATTATAGTTAGCCTACCTGAGGACCATACAGGTAAGTACTCACTATCACACCTTCCCTAATTAGTGTCTAGTTAAGGTAGAGTCTCGGTAGAATTGTATCTCCTAATTCTACCTCACTACCACATTCTACCACACCACACATCACCACACACTACCACACCAGTGTAATTGAAGTTGAAGCAATTTATTTAACCACATTAACACAGATGCAAAGTAAACAATAACAACAATGACATGACAGCAACAATAATGACATGACAGGAACAATAATGACATGACAGCAACAATAATGACATGACAGCAACAATAATGACATGACAGCAACAATAATGACATGACAGCAACAATAATGACATGACAGCAACTCTACATAACACATTATAAACGTGTTTTCGTTTATGACGCCTCACAGTGATAGCTTGGCGTGGGTTAGGCTACAGTGACACAGGTGGAGGGAAATGGTGTTACAGTGATCTTACAGTGACACAGGTGGAGGGAAATGGTGTTACAGTGATCTTATAGTGACACAGGTGGAGGGATATGGCGTTACAGTGATCTTACAGTGACACAGGTGGAGGGAAATGGCGTTACAGTGATCTTACAGTGACACAGTGTGGAGGTGGAGGGAATGGCGTTACAGTGATCTTACAGTGACACAGGTGGAGGGAAATGGTGTTACAGTGATCTTACAGTGACACAGATGGAGGGAAATGGTGTTACAGTGATCTTACAGTGACACAGGTGGAGGGATATGGCGTTACAGTGATCTTACAGTGACACAGGTGGAGGGAAATGGCGTTACAGTGATCTTACAGTGACAGGTGGCATTATAGTGACCTTACAGTGACTGTAGACCATGACCTCGAGAGTGAGGTTACAGTCACGGCCACACACCTGGTGTTGCTACTGTCCAGCCTTGACCACACCTTAACCAGCACCTGTTCACCCTGTGTCTGTGTGGGGAATGCTGAGAGAGAGAGAGAGAGATAGAGAGATGTGGAAGGAATGCGAGAGAGAGCGAGACAAAAGTAGCTTGAGAGAGAGGGAGAGAGAGGGAGAGGCTTATGTAGAAGGGGGTGTTTGAGCCAGCCAGCAGCCCCTAGACAAAGGCCCTACATTGACCAGTCACGAATAATAACTTTCAGTACACTCTTGTTCACGGTTGTATCTCGTGTTCACAGCAGATGAATACAACTCCATCTGTGGGGTAGAGAAGTGTGTCGGTGACTCGTTCCAGCTGTTCAGACTCGTTCCAGCTGTTCAGACTCTTTCCAGCTGTCCAGAGACTCGTTCCAGCTGTCCAGAGACTCGTTCCAGCTGTCCAGAGACTCGTTCCAGCTGTCCAGATACCAAAACGTATATAGAGTAATTTTGGTTATGACTGAAACTACAACACTTTTTTGTGTATGTTTTAAGTTCAGGTGTTGACATGACTGTAGATGTCTTCTTTACACACACACACACCACAACACAACACACCATAACACACACCACACCACCACACCACACACCACCACACCACACACCACCACACCACACCACACCACCACAACACACACCACATCACACCACACACCACCACACCACAACACACACCACCACAACACACCACACCACAACACACACCACACCACCACACACACACACACACCACCACACCACACACCACCACACCACACCACACCACCACAACACACACCACCACAACACACACCACCACAACACACACCACCACATCACACCACACCACCACACACCACACCACCACAACACACACCACCACACCACACCGGTTCCAAACAAGGTGTCGTGCCAACCCCGACATCACCCATTAAGATGTTGTCAGTCTCGTGGGCGTGTTCATACCTCACATCACCGTATAGTGAAGGTGATGCTCTTAGTCAGGGTGGTGACGCATTGGGGCGGGGCGTAGGCCAGGGTAAGGTGTGGCAGCTTCTAGTGATGACCAGTAAAAAATATTTACTGTTTTAAGCACACGTAACCACAATATTGTTGAAGTGAGACTGTCAGGTTAACGAGGTGGTTCTTGCCATAGTAAGACTGTCAGGTTAACGAGGTGGTTCTTGCCATAGTAAGACTGTCAGATTAACGAGGTGGTTCTTGCCATAGTAAGACTGTCAGAGGTAAATGAAGTAGTTCTGCCGTTAGTAACATTTGCTGTGCCGTGAAAAAGTGAAAGTGTCCACTAGGCCTGATGACCCGCCAGCAACACTCTACATTAAGATCTTTTATAGTACACGAGGAGGCAGTCAGGCTGGTCTGCGACGCCCTTCACTTTCCAGACTATAAACTTATAGTTACCTATTCACAGCTGGGTGAAATGGGGGTGCCTCGGGCGCGAACCAGTGATCCTGAGGAAAAGAGTCGAGTGCTATGTTCACTGGGCCTCTGCTCCCTCTTGTGGCTCACAGCAGATAAAAAATGTAACAGTTTTCCCCCTTGTGTGGGTGGTGGTGTTACTGGCAACACTGTACAGCCTACAGCAATTGGCAGTCCTGACGGGATGTGTGTGATTTTGGGGTGTACTGTACTGTGTGTTATATTCCAACTGTGTCGTCAGATCTGTAGCCGGAGACAATGAACACACTGCTACTGTTACTCTTGTGGTCACTAATATATCTCAGCCCCCTAGTTTGTGTGTTCCTTGGTGCTTATTGTTGTGTTTCTTACAGGAGGTAGAGGACCACGTACAAGGGCACGGTGACCTGCGGGCGCTGACGGAGGCTCGTGGCTGGGAGGTGGCCAGACCCGAGCGGCGCGTCGTGCACGAGTCAGCCCGCAAGTGGGGCACTGTTGATACTGAAGACGTGCACGAGACCAGCAGAGTCCAGGTAACACCTACACCACCTGTCCTGTCCTCACCTTCACTTGTCTCACTTGTCTTTAACACCTGCCCTTGTCTTCACCAGCCTCACCTGTCCTCACCTGTCCTCACCTTCACTTGTCTCACTTGTCTTTAACACCTGCCCTTGTCTTCACCAGCCTCACCTGTCCACACCTGTCCTCACCTTCACTTGTCTCACTTGTCTTTAACACCTGCCCTTGTCTTCACCAGCCTCACCTGTCCTCACCTGTCCTCACCTTCACTTGTCTCACTTGTCTTTAACACCTGCCCTTGTCTTCACCAGCCTCACCTGTCCTCACCTGTCCTCACCTTCACTTGTCTCACTTGTCTTTAACACCTGCCCTTGTCTTCACCAGCCTCACCTGTCCACACCTGTCCTCACCTTCACTTGTCTCACTTGTGTTTGGCACCTGTCCCACCTGTGTCTTCACCACCAGCCTCACCTGTCCACACCTGTCCTCACCTTCACTTGTCTCACTTGTCTTTAACACCTGCCCTTGTCTTCACCAGCCTCACCTGTCCACACCTGTCCTCACCTTCACTTGTCTCACTTGTCTTTAACACCTGCCCTTGTCTTCACCAGCCTCACCTGTCCTCACCTGTCCTCACCTTCACTTGTCTCACTTGTCTTTAACACCTGCCCTTGTCTTCACCAGCCTCACCTGTCCTCACCTGTCCTCACCTTCACTTGTCTCACTTGTCTTTAACACCTGCCCTTGTCTTCACCTGTCCACACCTGTCCACACCTGTCCTCACCTTCATATCATACAATTGTCCCCAACACCTGTCCCCGGGCCAAGGAAGGACCGGACAGATGTCATCTGTGTAAAATTTTCATTATTTCATAATATTTTTAGTTGATTTAACTTAGAAGTTAAATATATTATACAGGCCAGTCAGTCAGCTCTCTCCTCCCTGTCAATAATACTCCCTTATTATCCCTGATAGAAGAGGTAGGAGGACATTCTCTACCTTCCTGTTAGTAGAATGTCCTCTATCCTCCCTGGCAATAGAACGGCCTCTATTCTTCCCGGTGGTGTTTCAGGACGGGCACGTGGTGACAGAGACGGAGAGAACGACCCAGCACGAGCAGTACGAGAACGAGTCACTGCCAGACTCTGGGTCTTCCCTCAGTGACGGGTCAGTGCACGAGGAGGCGAGGGAGACTCAACACAACATTGTTCACACCAAGGACGAGGACCTGGTCGAGTACTACGGTGTGCCCCGAGGTGGTACTCTAGCTCAGGGCGTCAAGGTCAGCCTCCACACATCGGGGCCTAGGGTGGGGGGGAGGGGGGATCAGTTAAACCAAAAATAAATACAGAAATGGAAAAATAAAGCAAATCAAGAGTTATCAAAGTAAGAAAAATATTGAGATCCTGTAAATGAAGTGGAAAGTCGGTCAGATCACCAACCTGGAACTTGGTCACAATTTTGTTTATGCCATATGGCAGCAGGGTCTACCATTAGACAACACATTAGTAATAGTTGTAATAGTAGTAGTAGCATCAGTAGTAATAGTAATATTTTATTTATTTATTTTATTTTTTTATTTTTTATTTTTTTTTTACACAGGCATTAGCCCAACCGGGCACAGGTCACTGACCCACAGCAGGCCCTGGGGGGCGATAATGTAATACTACAATAATAATAATAATAATAATAATTCATAATAAATGAAATTTTTTAAAATATTTAAATAAAAATGAAATAATAATGATAATAATAATAGCAAAAATAATAATAATAATAATAAAGACATGTTGTCAAAGTAAGAGAAGCAATTGAGACCCTGCAATTGTGTGTAAATGTGGCAGAAAGTCAGATTAGCAACATGGGACTTGATCACAATTTTTTGTGGTGCCATATGGCAGCAGGGTCTACCATTAGACAACACATTATGCTTCCAATATCTTCCCAGGCAGTAGTACCTCCCTGTTCGGTAGTTGCCTACTGCAGTAATAGTAATTATTATTAGTAGTAGTATAGTAGTACAGTACCTCAGTAGTAGTCATAATAGTAGTAATAGTATTGACTATTTTAATTATATCATCATTATTATTATATCATGAAGGTTATTCACTGTTATTTAAGGTTACAGAAGTAGGAAACAACAGTACAGTACATTAGTCCCAGCAGCACCAGCAACATAGAGTACTTGTCCATTTATTTAGGCGGCCATTTGGTGACATCATCAGTGATTCAGGTATATTTGATGCTTCAGGTTATACTTTACTTTAATTGTGTACAGGTATTTATAAGTCTTTTGACTTGGTGTTATATGTGAGTCTTTTGGACCTGGAGTTGTGTTATAAGACTTGTGTTAATGTGTTGTGTCTCCGCAGCTGGGTGAGGGGATGCATGTTGTGAGTGAAGACTTCCATGAGGACCGGGAGGGTGAGGATCTAGACTCCCTCAGTGAGAGACTCCGACGAGCTCGCCGCCTGGGAGCCTTAAAGCCCAAGCCACGGGACGCCCAAGAACGTACGGACGCCCTCACGCGACGCCCGCTGGACTATCATCAGGAGGAAGAAACCCGCAAGTCTGAGACTAACCGCTGGCTGGAGAACCACTTTGGCAGCGAGTCAGGTCGTTCTGGCAGCTCTCATCAGGACCCAGAGGAGGAGGGCGGCGGCTTGCACACAGCTGGCGGCAACGTCATCACCATCACCATGAGTCCTCGTCCGGCCACCCCCGAGGACCAGCCGGACGTTGCTCCTCCATCTATTCATCGCTGGGGAAATTCTCCAATGACTACTAACCATACACTGGCATCTAAGGCTCCCCCGCCGCCGCCGCCACCTAAACCTGCGGCAGCTTGGATGCCGCCACCGCCAGCTACCTCCTCACACCAACAGTCACCACCCAGTGAGGAGATCACACACACCATGATCGCTGCAGCCCGGGCAAAATTACGGTCAACGGGACGTATTCTAGACGACGGCGAAAACGGCACGCCACCTACCAGTCCTCCCGCCACAAACGGTGTGAGGTTTACGAGCTTACAAGACCGGACACAAGTGCTGCCACCATCTTCAGGAACCTTCGCCTCACCACCAATGTCCCCTACAGGAGTTAGTCGACCTCCTGATGACCCAGTGTACAGTAGTAGGTTCAGGTCGGGCAGTCCTGCGGGGTTTGTACCAACACGTGTGTTCTCCACACCCGGCAAAATGTCCAGACCCCCGGCAGACTCTCCTCCAGACAGTCCTCCTCCGCCTCTCCCGGCCACCCCACCACCACCACCAAGCAACAATGTCGGTAGGTCACAGTCGTTTAATGTGACCGCCAAGAACTGGATGAACGGTGGGTCAAGGACTTCGTCTTCTCGTCTTATGGATACACGAATGAAGGAGTACCGCAGTGAGGAGCAGCTGGACACCGTGGGTCACAGGCCCTCCAGACAGTGGCCCCCGACACACAGGGAAGTTTCACCAGAGCCTCAGAGGGAGACAACACCCCCTCCTCCCCCACGACAACGCAGCTCCCTGTCACCTCACACACACTACAACACAACGCCCACCAGGTCCTCCAGGCCATCCAGAATCTCAGATTTTGTAACACAAACAATCGCTAGAGATTCGGGAACACAGACCGAGTCATCACCTGTGCCACCACCGCGCACCAAGAGAAAGAGCAAACCTAAAACTTATTACTTTGGCCAAGACTCTTCATCCTCTACATCATCATCTCACAAAGCAACAAGAACACCGAACACTACAACTACTACAGCTTCATCCTACACCAGAACTAGTACACACAACCAAATGTCACCGAAGGTCGAGAGAAAGTTCCGCACGACAAAGACCATCACCCCTGTCATAGTGCCCAAAACTACCACCACTGCCAGCAGTACAAACCACAACTCCAGCATGAAGAACCGCTCGTGGCACTACCGCAGCATGGACGAGCTCAGTACAGGTGTGGATAGTACTCCCAGAGCTTCCTGGACCAACACTGTTGATCCTCGCCGGCGTCCTCGCGACTACTCTCATCAGGCTAAAGAACCAGAGATGCGGACACTGCCCAAGAAGCTGGTGAACGGCACTTTGTCTCCCAGCAAAACTTACATCTTCGGCGGCGACAATACATCAAACGGAAGCCGCGTGCGGTCGGAGTCTTCGTCTCACCTGCGGAGGTCACACGGAGGCTCCATGGTGAACGTGTCCCTGGCTGGCATGTCTTCTCCTAAGAGTAAGGCTGTGGTGGAGCCTCAGGACAGACAGTCACCACCACGAGACATTCGACCCGTCATCAGAAGTCAGAGCCTCAATGTGAAGCCCGCCCCTCTCAGTGTGCCGCCCTCAACAGTGTCTCCCAGTGTTGGTCTGTCCAGCCACCAGCGCACTTCCTCTGTATATAAATCGTCCCCTTACCTGAACCTGAGAAGTCCCAACCTCATCGCCACCATCGCCCGCTCTAACTCCACGAGACGAAGTGACGAGGACCACAACGGTAACCACGAGCGGGAAGAATCACCGCCTCCCGCCGAACGATATCGCTCTCCTCGCCAGGTGTCGGGAAGCTCTTCCCGTAGGGCCAGCCTCACGCCTACCCACAACCACAGTAATGCCCCGGTCATGAACGGCCAAGACAGCCGAGAGGAAGAAAAGCGGAACAGATTTATGAAGGGTCTCCTGACCTCGGCCCCGGAGCTCTTCCACTTCATTCACGGTGATGAAGTTGATAAACCAGGGAATGACAACGCTCCCAGTAGAACCCGTCAGCCCTCCAACCCGCCTGAATCGCCACCACAGCTGATACGACCTCCAGAATCTCCGCTGACGTCCCCTACGGTCACGTCGCCGCCAGCTTCTGCAGCCCCTCGTATCTTCACCTTCGGACGAGGGGAAACGGGATCTCTCAAGAGGAGTCCTTCACTGTTGCAGGAGAACAACAACAACAACCGCTTCAGTAGTCTTGGGAGGCCTCGGGAGAGTCTCAGCAGTAGTCACCGCGACAACAACATCTCCAGTAGTCAAAGAGAGACAACAACCACCAACCAACGCAACAGTCTCAGCTCTCAGTATCACCGTAATGCCCTCCTCAACCAAAATGGAACCAATTCTCTCTCTCGGCCAAAATTTAATCTTAAGTCGTCGGGCGACGGGTCGTCTATCCTGTACTCCACCTCCTTCCGTAACAGACAAGAACCCAACACTACGTCCCTGAACAGACGGGGCTCCGACTCCTACGACCCTCCTCCACAGTCACGGCGGTGGAGGGAACAGGAGGACGCCGTGGAAGGGAAGAGTGGAGGGAAGGTGACCTCCAATATCACAAGAGATGGAGCTGTCCTCATCCCCATAAGAGATTGGAACAGCCGCTGATACGATGGTGCTAATGTTAGATGTAGATCCTTGTATGATGATGACTCCGGTCAACTACTTATACCAAACATTTATTGTGGCGTTGTTTAATTAGTTAATAATAACTACGTCATACTCTGGCAGAGCTTTTGGTTGGATACCGAATTGTGGAGCAAGAGAAGAGCTTTATGAGGCCCAGTAACCTCAGAGGTCTGGTGATACTGTATCCACTAAAAGTCATTTTGTTATGTTCTAAACCAATGGTAGTCAATATCAAATTATTTATTAATATTAATATTTACTGGACGTCTCTCTGTTTGACGCTCTCAAGGTGGGGGGCGGAGCTCTCCTGGCCTCACTGCTGTGAGCTGAGGTTGAGCTCCTGTGAGTGGTACACCTCCCAACTCATCTGCCTACTGCAGGTATGACAGTGTTGTGTGGCGTGACTGTAACAATAGGACCTCCTTGGGTCACTCACCGTTGGTTAAAACAAGGTTATGTGTGAAGCAGATATGTTAAATGTGCCATAAAGTGTAAGACATAGTTGTGGTGAGGGGGCCCTGCCTCCTGTGGTGAGGGGGCCCATGCTTGTGTGGTGAGGGGGCCATGCCTTCTATGGTGAGGGGGCCATGTTTGTGTGATAAGGGGGGCCTCACCTTGTGTGGTGAGTTGGGATGAGAGGGCACTGCCTTGTGAGGTGAGTTGTGGTAAGGGGGCCCTGCCTAATGTTGTGTGTTGTGATGAGGGGCCCTGCCTCCTGTGGTGAGGGGGCCATGCCTTGTGGTAAGGGGGGCGTCACCTTGTGTGGTGAGTTGGGGTGAGAGGGCACTGCCTTGTGAGGCGAGTTGTGGTAAGGGGGCCCTGCCTAATGTTGTGATGGGAGCACCTGCCTCCTGTAGTGAGGGTGTGGCGCTGAAGTTGTGGTCACCCACGATTACTCACACACACACACACACGCTGTCTTGCTGGATAAATTAATCATCACTTTAATTGTGTGTTAAACACCATTGTTCAGTACAGTACACACCAAGCTCTACTATACCTTCTTCTCTGCATCAGTAATAAGTGACTTGAGATATTGCAGTGTTTCCCGACGGTCAGTTGCTGCTCTCAACTATACTCTCGCTTAAAGAAAAAAAAGTAGAAATAAATGACTTTTAAGTAAAAACTCCTACCTTAACTTTTGTACTAAACAGGTTTTGACTTCATAATGACCGTCGATTCAGCTTTAATGACGAATGTGAAAGTAATATCAATAGAACTGGATCATTTTATCTTTAGTTATTTTTTGGCTGCCCACAAACTTTAATCTTCTTACCTCAGAGAGACATTTTCCACTGTTGGCTTCGTCACTCACATCTAACCAAATACTAGTGAGGGTTGTGTCTTATTATGGCTTCCTGTTCTTTGTCTTCCCTTAATTAATTTTTAATTCTAATCGTCCGTGTACATTATATGTTTATTGACGTATTATTGGTAAGGAACGTTTGCATAAAATGTATGTTGTTAGTTTAAGGTGATTGTGTATATTTTAAATAACTGTATAAATACTGTAATAGGTGAGTTTGATGTCATAAACCAGTAGTTGATAACACTCTACATGATGCCATATCATGATTTTTGCCAAATGTTAAGTGTCATGAGCTATTAATATATAAGTATTAGTAAACAGCTTTATTTTCAGTAAATATTGTAATCTCAAGGATTGTATTTTTTATTGACAATATTTTTTAAAACAAATGAAGGTTTATAGTGAGGATTTGTGAAAATATGAAGAAAGGGATGATGATGTGGCAGTGTGTCCAGTGCCGGATTTAGACCTGTGGAGGTCCATGGGCAGCCTCTTTGTGGAGACCCCCCTCATTATAACTACCCAAGAGGGTGGGGTGGCGAGTGAAGCGAGCCTAAACATCTAGGAGTTTCGGGGGCGCTGTAAGCCCCCCGGGAAAATTTTGAAATTTGAACACTTCTGGAGAATTTTGAAGCCATATGCAGTTATATTGAGGAAATTAGAACATTTTGTAATATGTGGAGGCCCCTGGGCAGCTGCCCACTCCTGAATCTGGCCCTGAGTGTGTCACCTCAGCTCCTGTCTACATCCATATTCTCCCTTAGACAAAATCCTGTACTGTACTGTATAGTGCATTGAGTGGGTCGCTATATTCTGAGCTGCATGGCTGGCTTGTGAGACACTTTACAAGCCTTTAACGCTTGTAAGTAAGTAAATAAGTAAGTGGTGTAGAACGGTATAACGCTTACCTCTTCTGTTTTGGTGGCTTGTGTTAGACATAAGCCAGTCAAGTCAAGCCTAATGCCATGCTAGCTCACTCTCCTCAATTTTTATTACCATTAATATTATCCGTCCAAATGTCTTTACCTTTATTTTCCAATATATAGACTTTTATTGAAGTGATGGAAATAATATGCGAGTGAAAATTAACTTTATTGTGGTGATAAATGGATATCTGTCACATGCTAGGTAATGCTTCATAACCACAATTATTCATGCCACAGTTTTGTATCATCCTGTCATTAAAGTATACACAGACTGACTCACTCTGTTTATTAAGACCATATGTGTACCGGCAGTTGGATATGTGTTTGAGTAATGTTAAACATCTTGCATAAGAGTCGCCTGAAGATTCACCACCTCTCCTCCCCCTCCATCATATTTCATGTGAAGATTAACCACCCTGATGAAATAAGCTGGTAGAGGGTGGCCAATCTTCAGGTGAAATAAGTTGCTGGGTGAATCTTGGGGCGAAATAAGTTGCTGGGTGAATCTGTAGGTGAAATAAACTGGATGAATCATTAGGTGAAATTAGCTGTTGAGTGATTATTCAGGTAAAATAAGCTTGAGGTGTTTTGAGGAAATATATACTGTAATATTTTCTTATTCTGGGTAATTTATACATAGTACATTTTTAAAGCTGCTATAGTACTTAATTTTTAAAGTCCACACACACACACACACAAACATTGTACATATGTAGTGAAGTATACAAACAATTTATATAGTGTAAGAGTATAACCAATGTGCATAGACAGTGCAGGTACACAAACAATGTAAATAGACAAATGCAGGTATACAAACAATGTATTATAACGAAAAAAATTTCAGCTCTGGATACCAGGTTATTATAAACAGTACAAGCAAACAAACAAAGGTAAACAAAGTTGATTCTTTTACTTTTACTCTCTTCACCAATTGATCCGCTCGTTACCTGCTTGGGCGATCGGTCACGTCTCTCACACACTGTTGGCAAGTACTGGGCATGCACCGGCTCCTGAATGTACCTGAACCTGCTCCAGTGTTGGTCAAGTCTGGTCTTGAAAGAGCTCACACTCGGTGCCGTCACAACACTCTCTGGTAGATTGTTCCAAGAGTCCAGTAAGGACAGCACAAGAAAGCTGTCATAAACAATTAAATCAACAGTAATGAAGACCAGGTGAAATGAAAATACATAAAACAATATTAATGTTGAAAAAAAGTAGTTTGGAAAATTTAATCTTAGAAAAGTAGCTTAGATTAGTTAGAAATAGAATGTACTGTATAAGTAGACATTAACAGTGTACAACTTAGAAGCACTGTGTTGATGTTATAGAAGGCTTCCTCCCCTCTCCTTCAGGACCCCACAGATTTAAAAGAATATTGTACTGTACATTAATCCTGAACTATATTGTCTCGATTATTCAAGTAGACTAAGGGCCTCAGGACTGATTAACTTTTCAGACAAGAGATATGCTAGGGACTGACAGTTGATTGAAAATGTTCAAAGGAGGGCTGCCAGACTGGTGCCTGCACTTCGGCTATCCTGAGAGATTGGAGCACCTGAACTTGCCTAGCTTTTATTACAGATAGGCAAGTACTGGGCATGCACTGGCTCCTGAATATATCAGAACCTGCTGCAGTGTTGGTCAAGTCTGGCTTTGCATGAGCTCACACTGGGTGCCGCCACAACTCTCGCTGGCAGATTGTTCCAAGAGTTCACAATTCTCACTCCGAAAAAGTTTTCCCTCACAGTTTTCTGGACTTGTGGCTTCTTCAGCCTTGAGCTGTGACCCCTTGTGGGGCGGATGTCAGCCAGCCCCAGGTACACTATATACATTCGACCGAGTAGTGCCCCCTGAGATGTTTATACACTTCGATTGGGTCGCCCATCTTTAGTATAAGCTAGGTAGTTGCAGACTTAATTTTTTCCTCTTCACCACTGATCGGCTCGTTAGCCGCTTGGGCGATCGGTCACGTCTCTGTCACGCACTGTTGGCATGTACTGGCTCTCTGTTACGTTCTAATATCTCTGGGTCAACTATTAAAACACTCCTACCTCCGCTAAGACCTCACCTCGTGGTGACCCCTCTCTTACTACCTACAGCCACCAGCAAGCAACACCTCCTCCTCCTGCCTGGCGGCCCTCGCTCCTGCCGGCGACCATGGCGACCCACAAGCTGGTCCTCCTCCAGCACCCTCACCAACCAGCTTTCTCTACTCAACACTTGTAACCACGCTGCCTTCTCAGCACCAAGCTGCATTTTACATCCAATACAATATATATACAGTGAGCACATTGTGAGTTTCCTTTCTCCATCCCATCCTGAGTGTGAACCAATATCCCGTACCCCACAAATGGTGACCCCCGGAGATTCGCACTCACACAGGATGGAGGAGAAACCGATCACTCTCCCAGTCTTCAAGCAACATGGAAGACTGGCTTATCCACACAGAGGCAGCTCTCATCGGCTCTACAACTACTATCTCTACACCGCAGGTTAAACACCCTAGAGCAGCACTGCTTCTCTAAGACAGCCACTCCTCTTCCTGCCCCAAGCATCACGTCCTACCGACCCCAACACATCCGTCCTGCCTCAGACGGTGCCCCCGGCCCAGCAGTACCCCCTGCCACTGTCCTGGACCCTCCTCCGCTCCTGCCTGGCAGCCCCTGCTCCCAACACGGCCTATGCGCCTGAGGCGGCCCCACACACCTTTTTTTTCCCCTCAGGTCCACCCTGCTGCTGTCATGCACCCTGCTGCTGTCATAGACCCTCTTCCTGACGCAGCCCGTGCTCCTGACCCAGACCTACACACCCCAGCAGGTGCATCTGAGGACTCTGTACCTGTCGCGAGGGAAGCACATCATTCATCGCCTCCACAACCCTCCTACTCCCTCTCTTCACCCATAGATCTCGTGTGTCTAGACAGAGTTGTCTCCCCTAGCGGCCGGCTCATCCACGCCCTCGTTGTTATGTCTCATATGTGGCATACAACCCTGCAGGCAACAAGTCTCCTACACTGCCTGGAGGGAAGGGGGAGTATTGTGGTGGATTCCTCCCCTACAAACGTTGTGTCGTTGACTAGCCGACCCTCGCCTCGTGGTCTAGGTCAGTAACCAGCGCCGTCTTACATGACTGAGGTCAACTATTAAGCCACGCCTACCTCCGCTATATAAGACCTCACCTCGTGGTGATCCCTCTCTTACTACCTACAGCCACCAGCAAGCAACACCTCCTCCTCCTGCCTGGCGGCCCTCGCTCCTGCCGGCGACCATGGCGACCCACAAGCTGGTCCTCCTCCAGCACCCTCACCAACCAGCTCTCTCTACTCAACACTTGTAACCATGCTGCCTTCTCAGCACCAAGCTGCACTGTACATCCAATACAATATATATACAGTGAGCACATTGTGAGTTTCCTTTCTCCATCCCATCCTGAGTGTGAACCAATATCCTGTACCCCACACGCCTCCTTACTGTTGGTATATCCCAGGTGCATCCTCTTACACTTGGTGACATTGAATCTTAGTAGCCATTTCTTCAACCATTCTTTAAGCTCACAGAGATACTTCTGTAGTTCTTCACAGTTTGCTTGGTTCTTAATTTCCCTAGATAACTTGGCATCGTCCGTAAACATTTGTATGGAGGAGCATAAAGCTTCTGGCATGTCATTTATGAATCAAACAAACAACAACGGCCCAGTACACTGCCCTGTGGTACCCAGCTTGTCACAGGTATACATGACTTCATACCATTTATCACCACACACTGCTTGCACTCATGCAGACAGTCTCCAACTCACTCTAGGATACTAACCATTCCAGTTTGATCATTGGGTACACTGTAGAAAGCCTTGGCAAAATTTAGGTATATAGTGTCAATATTTTCACTTTTTTCTAGAATTTGAGTCAAAATATCCAGTACCTTAAGTAATGTGTGAAGCAAGATCGTCCTGGCATAAATCGTAGCAGGCTCACTGATCTATTTTTGAAGATGGCGGCTTGAAAAAAAATAGCCGCCATCTTCAAAAACTTAGAAGCAAAATGACTGCAAAAGTATTAATTGTGTCGAAAAATAACATCCAGTCAAAGTTTGTCTGAAGAAGATGAATGAGTAATGAGAGTGCAGATGACGCCATGTTACGAAATACTGTATATCTTTACAAATAATATATTTATTGTATCTATTTCTTTCTTTAATAAATAATCTACATTGTTTTAGGTTTGTTGAGGAGGTGAAATAAAGATCCACTATTGATATACAGTAACTGAAAATCATCTTAGACAAAATTTTCGTCACAGAGAATTAATGAAGAATAATATGCAAGTTTTTACATCATTCATGAATAAATTGGTGACAAATATACAAGATATTAGGAAGTAAATGAATTAAGATACCATAATATTGAAGATGGATCCAGGTGCCACTGAATATTTTAAAGTTAGACGTTCTTATATTAGTTATAAAGCCTTGTGAGAATATATTACCTTATATAACTAATAAACCTATATAAAATACACAATTTAGAAGACATTTAAACTATAAAAATGAATTAAAATAGTAGAAAATAGAGAATGAATCCAGATAGGAGTGAATATTAGGAAGATGGTGATCGTCACTTGTCTCTCTTGAGGCATTATGGGATTACGTCACCTCCAGCACCAGTGACGTCATAAACATTGGGAAAGCATTCTAGGATTTGCTCTTCAGTGCGGAGATTCTCGAGGCATTAAATGTATGACGTGAAGTTTTACGCCACTAGTCAATAGTATTTGTATAAGAACATTGTAGTTAATATTATAATGTCTACTCCGGCGAGACGACGACTCATGAGAGACTTCAAAAGGTAAGATAAGATGAGGGAGAAGTGTGATGGGTGTTAGCCAGTCATCAGCTGACCTTGTTACCATTGCCAGAAGTGTGGAATTTATTCTATTAAAACGATGTTGTGATGTCTGTGAGGGGCTAGACATGTGTTTTATGGTGTTTTATGGTGTGGTGAGGGTGTGGTGTGAGGTAGGAGGTTATAGTGTGGTTCTCAGCTGCTTGGTGTGAGGATGACTTCACTGTTGACTACAGCTACAAGTTCTTTGTTGTGCTTCTATAAATACAAGTTTTAATGGCGTAGTTGTTGGCTCAATGTATCACTACTCCTCTCCTCCTTTATTGTTAGAACCTTTACCCGTCATTATTATGTTAGATTAATTAAATAAGACGATTAATTATCTCAGTTACTCGATCTTATATGATGATTTTTTTTCAGATTTCGTCATGTTTAGAAACTTGGTGTTATGAGTAGTTAGTTAATGATGTTATAAGGGTAATGATGTAGGTGTGAGTGATGAGGTGTTAAGAAATGGTATGGGGAATATAAGTCGTAATAATGTGTGTAATGTTAGGTAAGGTTGAGGAAATGGTGTGAAGGTTATCTATGGGACTGATGATTTATTCCTGGTTAGGTTGGGATTATGACTGACAACTTCACTTCAGTACAGAGATTATAAATGAAGCCTGAAGCATAGGGCGGAGGAAGTATTAATTAATAACCTTTTATAATGTCTGTGTGAAGTATGTTGTTGAATCCTTTGTGAATTTGTATGATGATTTGACTTATTATAAATCTATATATCGTTCTGCTCTTTACTGTTGTGTCAGAGGCTACATAAACTGACATACAGTAATGATTGTTAGGTTAGGACATTGTTTGCAGCATTACAGTATTTTTGGCTCACCTGAAGGTTTGGTACCCCAGCTCACTTCACCTGATGATTAACCACAAAGTGTAGTACAGCAGTAGTGATCTGCCAGCCTCAGATACTGTTATCACAATGTAATGCTTGTTGAATTCTATCAACAAACTTTCACTAATTCTCCTATAGACATACTGTTGCTGATTAGAGACCAGGTATAAACCTAAGCTAAGAGCGTTCTTGGAAATAAGCATCTGACAGTTTTGTTAACTGTCCTTGGTTAAGTTGCCTTACCATTTACTTGCACTGTCCCACAGTCTACCAGCACTGTATACCTACATTGTCTATATTAATGCTGAACTGTTTAAGTGCACAGTTTATAAACATGGTTATCCAATTGTAAATCTGTATGACAACATTACTCAATAAATATTACCGAGGGATCATTAGGTAAGTGTTATGGTGTTGAATCATTTGGTGAGGTAACTTTGTGTGCCGGAGCTTTACGTTGTATTTTTTTCTACAAGTTTTGTAGATTAATTTTTTGTTCTAATTCAAATTCTGTCTGTAAACATTGTTAAATTTTGTTTACTAAAACTTTTGCTGTGAAATTCATAAGGTTTATATTATGGCTGACTGCACATTATCTGCAATCACTACCGTCTTGGCCAAAACTAAAACTCCTTATTGATCCATATACAGTATAATACAGTGTGTTTAGAGGCTTTGCTTTTGTGGTACACACTGGTACAGTATATTTCTGTATTATTGTTTTATGATTTACAGTACAGTACTGTACTTATCTTTAGAACACTTGCCAAATGGTAAAGATAATGTCTTTCAATATTTCAAGTTGTGACAAAGACAAAGGGTGTCAGAATGTATTGGTCCCAACCTTGTGTTTCTTGTAATGGTGTTTGATGCCCTAAACCAGAGATGACATACTCTACAGTAGTTGAGTGATTGTTTGTTTTAGTCTGCTATACGGCACAAAACTCTTGAAGCAGTGAAGGATATACAGCCGTTTTTCATTACTGTACCGTACTCTCGGGTAGATAACCTGATATTTTAAAAGATAAATATGTAGAATCAAAAGTTTTAGAAGGCCGTTTTTAATGATAAAATGTGGAATAGAATAACAGTCTTTTTAAGATTTGTATATGGAAGAAATGCTTTATGTGCAATGCTTTGAAATTGATTATGATAACTGTCCTAGAAAGTTTTTAAATATTTATGAAAATTTGCAGTCATTATTCCTTAGATATTGTGTATTAGATGAAACATCCTGTGATAAAATAACAAGATATGTAGTGGCAGTGCTGCACTTGACCTTTACAAGATATAGATGGAAGTGACTCCAAGACCAGCTGGGGGAGACTTTTTATTTGAGTGGTTGTGAAGCCGGTTATATTCCTAACAGGTTACATAGTCTGGTGCCCTGGCTAAGTGTATAATAGTGTGCTGTACTGTACAGTTGATGTTGTTGACTCACTACTGTAATTCTAAACTTCACAGATACCCCCTCTCCCCTCCCTCCATTTTTAGTGCATAATTTGAAGTCCAGATTACTTTAGTTTCCTTTAAATTTATAGCTGTTTTATGAAAGATTGCAGTATTGTACTGGATATCTTGGGTATTTGCTTTGACAATATTTTAGGACTAATAAAAATGGATTTCATTATTTTTATTTCACAGTTATGTGACCCAGAATCACACGTGGAACATTACCAGTTTAATATGTTAGTCGAGCATAAATGATGTAAACGTGAGGGACAGTACCTGTACCTGGCTACACAAGCTCCTATTTTAGTGCAGCTGTAATTTGTCACTGCTCAACCGAGTCAGTAGTTCTCTGCAGTGCATGTACATACTGTACAATCTAGCACCTCTTAGTGAATGACATATACAGTACAGTACTGCATACTGTATATTTTATGCTTTTTAACTTCTCAAGCTTCAAAAGAGACCAAGTTGTTCTCCACAACACCAGAAGAGGGCAGAAGTACTCTGCCGGTGTTACTATAGTGCGTGGTCTACAAAGATGTCTAGTGTGGCCTAGCCTTTGTAAAGGCCTGGAACTTGGCGACGGCGGGCGTTGTCTTGCTACAGAGGAGAACTGGCCAGGTGCACAGAGGGTGTGGAGGAACTTGCGATGACGTGACAGCCGCAGTAGTGGTTGGGGTAGGTGTCCAGAGATAGACAGTCGATTTGTGAAGGTCTGGGGAAACAGCCCACGAGTCCAGAGCCTCAGATGAGAACACGACCAGAATTTGGGCGAGCAGCGGGGAGGTGCAGCTGTGGTGCTAACTGGGTAGTGTCTGCCTGTGTCACGAGGCAGCAGCGACCTTCTCACCTCCGTTTACTCCCCCCCCTCCCCCCCCAAGTGGGGGACGCGAAGAAACAAACGGGCGGGGGCAACCATCCTGCTCGTTACCGCCCTTTCAGCCTTACCTATCATAACCTAACCTCAGTATCTTGTAGACCACCACTCTGCCTCTATTAGAACACCATGGTACTGTTTTTAATTTCTAGGAAGGGACTCTGTTAATGGAGTTTTCACCCAAGGAAACTTACACCCATTTACCCTGTCTATATGTGCAGCTGACTATTTTCCTGTGTGTATAAGTGTATTTAACATGTATTAATAATACAAGTACCAAACTGTGTTCCTCATTTAATGATGGTGGTACGTTCCTGGAAATCTAACGTTAAGTGAAATATTTGCTGTACATTACACTGTACTAGAGATAACAGTGAAGCACGGGGGGGTGAACAACAGGTTCAATCTGCAGGATGGTAAACATTGAGTAAAGTATTCCATAATAATAATAAAGTTCATTATAAATGGTTTTGAAGTTAAACGATTGATTTATTAACACCAAACTTCAATACATTACATATAATCAAAATGGTTCACAGTTAAATGATTTAGTGAGGAAAAGGTGAGCCTATTAAAACAAATCAAATTGCCCACAGTAGAGTATGTAAAAAATGAACAAAAATTACTGTGATAAACAATAATATTGGTTCAGCACATTTTATGTACAAAAAATAGATCCTTCCACACTTAAACCATCCTCTGGCTGTGTGTGTGTATCCCGTGACATCACATCGTGGGAGTGAGTGTGGCTGAGTTGGGAACACTGTTACAGCCCACTGCCTCCACACAAACATTCACTTTCCTCACACCCATTCTCTTTATTTTATTGTTTTAGATTACTGTATAGCAACTTTATTTCTCAGCCATATTAGAGTACAGGTATTGTAATGATTTTTCCCACATCTTTTATAGTTTCATTACATATAACAATGGCAGCATGCAAGCCCACAGGCCACCTCATCCCCAGTTTTTCCCCTTTCCAGTGTGTGTCAAGCTGTCACTAAATCCATTTTTGATCTAATGTTAAGCGAGAAAAGGGGTCAATTTTTTATCGCTAAACCGAATTAACATTAAGTGAGGGATACCTGTAACTGAAATGGGTCACATGAAGTATAGTTCCCAGCTTATTTTACTTTAAGGCTAACCTCCCTAACCTGTCCACAGGTAACATGAGGGTGTTGGATCATCAGGTTAAATAAGCTGTGAGAGATAATCTAATAAAACAGCAGTGTACAGTAATACAAACATAATAGTGTACCACATTAACCCTTAAATGGAAGCCATCAGCAGTGGAATTAGTTGCAGATTATGAGTTAAGGGCAGATGGTCATAACGATCATTGGGGTGACTACTCGTACTTTCTTTAGTGAATCATTGTTTGCTAGTTTATGATACTGTATAAGTGCTGGTAGCTGTTGCCTTCTTGTGCAGTATTACCTAGTGTTAAGTCTGCAAGTTGTCAGTGGTTTAGTGTGTGTGTGTGTGTGTGTGTGTGTGTAATAATAAAAATAATAATACAAATAAATGGTTTATTAATAGAGATGCAGCCGGTGGCTGAAAATATACAAACTTACATGTGATTTAAACATAATAATATATGCTCAACACATTTACAGGGCTGTACAGTACATAAATCAGGAGCTGTTTATTATTTTAACAATAGATGGGATGATGCTGTTCTTATATCTATCGGTGCAGGCTCTTATGGGCTGAATTTTGTTGTAGTGGCGGACTGTGCGAGGTGGGCGGGGGACTGCAGGTGGCAGTAGGTGGTGATGACGAGGATGGTACAGTAGTCCACTGCCAAACCCTGCTAGTGTGTGGTGGTGGCGGCCACTGAGGGATGGCATCTCCAGGGTGGAGAGAACCTTGTTGTAGCCGGAGTCGTCTGCACCAAGCATGATTCTGCAGGCCCTCTTGTGTACCTTCTCTAGCTGACGTTGTTGGGTAGAGTTGAGAGAAGACGACCAGGCTGGTGACGCATATGTTAATTTGGGGAGAATAAATGCGTTGTAGATAGTCCTCAGCTCTGGCGTGGGTGCCCCAAGTGACCTGAGTCGTCGTAGCATGTAAAGTAGGTACGAGGCTGCCTTGATTGTGTTGTTTACATGTGTGTGTGTGTGTGTGTGTAAGATAATAATTAACGGTTTATTGAAAAAGTTCTGCAGCTCGAAGGCTGAAAATATACATTGGACATAAATGACTTATTACATACATTAGAGAATGGTAAAGGAACATACAGTGAACATACAGATTAATGTTTACAGTGGAGGTCACGTAGATTTTGTTTTCTGGGGTGTTGAATAGCAGACACGTAGTGTAGTAATTCCCTCACAGATGGTGTTAAGAGTGACCTGACGTGGTGTAGTAGTTCCCTCACAGGTGGTGTTATGAGGGACCTGACGTGGTGTAGTAACTCCCTCACAGATGTTATAGGGGGCATCACGTGGTGTAGTAATTCCCTCACAGATGGTGTTATGAGGGGCATCTCGTGGTGTAGTAGTTCCCTCAGAGGTGGTGTTATGGGGGGCTTGATGTGGTGTAGTAATTCCCTCACAGATGGTGTTCTGAGGAACCTCACATGATGTTGTAGCAACTCATTCACTATGTGGTGTCGTAGCAACATGGGGACACCACATGGTCTGGTGTCACAGGACCTCACTCACTCAAGTGAGCGAGGTGTGGTCCCTGGCCTCCCTATCGTGGACGGATTAGCACAGCTGGTGTTGTCGAGTCTCGGGCAGTTATCACTGGGTACCTGTGACGTCTTTGTGTGAAGTTTAGCTTGGGTACGATTCAGCTGTTACTGTTAAGTTGTTTTTCACTGACTTAAGCACTGTTCACCACTATTCAACACTGGTTCCATTCCTTTCCTAAATGAAATAGTAACTTGTGGCGAGAACTTGTTGATATTCCGGTGGGGAGGAGGGTTCAGGAGAGGGAGTTGGTATGGGCCAACATAACAGTTGACCTGGCTGCTGCCAGAGCAGCGCCAGGTACATCTTGACCCTTCGGTGATCAAGGATGAAGTGTGTGTGTGTGTAACAACCAAATGGGGTAGAGTTCAGAATGTTGGAAGTTGCTGAACCAAGATTATAATGTAGACATGAAGCTTGGACTTGGGTACAAGAAGAAAGTACAGATTCAATAGACGAGACAGAAATGACATGACTAAGAGCAATAGTTTCAGTAAATAGGATGTAGAGAGTAAGAGATGAAGGAAGTGCCTGGCAAAGAGTTGTTCAGGGTCTTGCTCAGGTGATACAGATCTCATGGGAAATGAAAGAATGATAAAAGGTTTGTGTGGCTAAGTCAGAAGTAAGGTTGTTAGGGAAAAGGGGTGCCAAGATGTGGTGGTGGAATGTGTGCTAGGAGTGAGGGGGTAAATATTGAGATTGATAAAAGCAACAGTGTGTCTGCCCTTAACCGGAAAACGTGATAATAATGACTTGAGTAATATTGGAGGAAGGATGTGGCTAACAGTAGTTAATGATGCTGGTTGTGGAAGGAGAGCACAGTACCATAATAGAATGCAGATTTTACAGCAGTGAGAATGGGCAAATGAAACGAAATTATGAGTGTGTTTTTGGTTAGCCATCAGGAAGAGGTTCTATAGACATGTCTGTATGTAATGGTATGTCACAGTTTAGGGAGATATGGCACCACATTTGAGTTACCTGAGTAGAGTAGCTACTTGGATGATTGGTCACGTCTCTGTTACACATGTTAGTAGATATTTTCATGGTTGAGAGGAACTGTTGATGCTAGCTGAGTAGTGACTCATTATAGCTGATGAAAAACAGTTTAGTAGTCACTTAAGAGCTGGTGGGATGTATATATGTAGGGTGTTTGTACAGAGTAAATGGCCTTACACAGTTGAAGTGAAGCCAGCGTGCTATTGTATGCGGAGGCTCAGTGACCAGCAGCAAGGAATACAAATGATGGCAGCAAGGATGAAACAGATGTAAATTTATTCAAATCTTGTTTCAAATATGGAAAGGAAAAGATGTGATCCTGGCAACATTAGTTATGAAGTAAAGTGAACCTTGGTTAAACCGAACTTAGTGAGGGAGCATCCTAGACACGTCCAATTTCTACCATAAACATTGTAATAGCTATATACAGGAATGGTGGCAGGTCTGTGGTAAAGGGTAAAATATGGATTAAATGTACGGTATCTCTGAGATTTGAATGTACTGTATCCCAACAGGCTTAAGAAAGGCTCATCTGGTGTAAATTCCATAGCAGTTTGATTCTACATTTCTCTTTCCATCCAAAAAGATTAGGATTGTACGTGGATATTGAAAACACAGCTGTAGGGGAACGTGTTATCATTGCCTAAATAAATACCTTGTTTATACAGTATGGTATTTTTTGTTCTTTGTGTACATAATTACAATACAGTACAATATACACCATTCATGCTCCACAACTAATATATCATGGATAATTAAACACCTAACTACTACCTAGGGAGGGTGAAGGTTATTGATAGGGTGTGTAGCTATTAGGTCAAAGCAGTTGGTCTGCCTAATGTATATAGTAAATGGACCATGCTTTATGACGACTGATTCAAACACTGTACTGTACAGGGTTTGTGAAGCAGAGAACCAGGGAGGAAGCTGGTCGTGATAATCTTGTTGAGTGCCTTAAGCAACACCTCAGTAAATGTATATACTGTACTGTGCAATTTCTGTGCCACTTTTGTATGAAAAGATTAGTACGGTATTTAATCTGATATACCTGTGTCTTCTATGACCACTGCTTTGTCTAAAACTGTGGAGAATGTATATGGTGGTAAATTATACTAATGAAATAAGTAATTCATTTCAATATACACTGTACTGTACACTGTATTGGTGGAGTGACAAGGTAGACAGTTATGGTGGTGTGGTGTGGTGGTGGCTACACAACTTTCCTTTAATGATCAACCTCCTGGCCATGTTGTCATCCAGGTGCTCCCTCATATAACTCACCACCACGAGTACAGTACAGTGTTTGTTGGTGTCTGCAGTGACTCGACTTTCTCATCGCCTGAAGATTAGCCCCTAGGATATTTCACCAGATTAGACCCCCCATTTCACATGAAGACTGGCTCCCTCCTTAGCTTATTTCATTTGAAGATAAACCCCACCTAACCATCCTCAGATTAGTGTATTATTTTAAACTACCCCAATTTTTCCATATAGCTGCCAGTCCTTGCACTATATACCTGCTGAGGAAGTGAGCAAAGGACTCTTCACCAGGCTGGACAATATGGTTCTGTTAGTACATACTGTATTTGTTTTATTTTATTTATTTTTTTACCTAATTAAAGGCTTCAATTAATTCATTTTGGTTTGTCCGCAGGTTGCAGCAAGACCCGCCTGCAGGAGTTAGTGCCGCTCCAACAGAGAACAATATCATGATCTGGAATGCAGTCATTTTTGGGTAAGCAGTTCCTCTTCTTCAGTGTTGTGTCATTGTTGAAATTAGTATACAGTAATGTATTGTAGAAAACTCTGGCCTTTTTCCCACTAATATAATAAAATGTATCTGGATGTAAGAGTGAATTTACACACAGACCCTCACTCCCCTCCACAACAGAGCCCCAGGTATTCATGTGGTGTGTCCCTTGTTTCTTCATGTAGCTTGGTATCATACACCTGCTGTAGTGTGTGTGTGTGTTCCCTCTATCTTTGTATATAATATCTCGGCATCCATTCTGTTGTTTACTTTCCTTTGACATACATTTTGCAAAACATTAAACTATCTCTTCCCTCCCCAACTCTCTACCTTAATTATATTAGTGTTTACATGGAAATTCATACCTTACTCACCACACCATCAAACCTATATCAGTCTCCCATATTTCTGCTTAACTTGACTCTAGCCCAGCTTGTTAGGAGTCTTCAACACTTGCAACAGTTTCCTTGTCTGTAGATTATTCCAGTATATGGGGAGCTCTAGGCAAGAAGTAGACAGTTGGGGAGCTCGCTAATTCTTGTTGATGATAGGATACAGCAATGAAATGTTATTAAATATTGCTGCTTCTCTGGTCATAACTGGACTTCACAAATCGCAGAAGAAAAGTGTTCCCTCTGTTAGGTGGCTGGTGCCCTTTTGGCTAGAAGAGGCACTGCGTCATGAGCTCTTGTTGACATTCACATTTTGCACCAGTCAGGAAATTGTTGGGGAGGAGGAGGAGGGGGTCTCCTGGGCACACTCCTCTGTGTGTCAGCAGAACCTCTCAGACAATGTCATTCAGCTGGATTTTTATTTGTCTCTTTTGTACAGGCTTATGAGGCAGATGATTGATGGATTACAGATTTTATATAGTATTGCCCAAAATTAGTTAATCCATTGACTGCACGCTGACTGTGCCTGGTCTGTTTTGTTTTTTTGCCTGCTGCGGCTTCCCCATATATAGTCTGCTTTTGTATTAGTCTGCACGTGGTAATAAGTGGGAAGTATGTGTAGTGGCACTCTTCCCCCACCCTGGCAGTGTTATCATACAATGGTTCAATAATTTTTATTCATTCCATCATCAGTGGTTAGACTGGGTACATGGAGAAGGCTTGTTATTATAGTCATCTTGTATACCTCACAAGACATGAGGATGACAGTGAGGGTTACAAAAGGGCTGCAATGATTGGGCTAAAGTAAGGTTATTCAAATAAGAATATGTTAATTATTCATATTGCAAGTTTTGTCTGTTTTGATTCAATGGAATATTGCTGTTGTATCCATGTAACATGGTAAACTGCTAAGGAGGGATTAGTGAGCTCTCTCAACCACAAATTATTCCCTTATCTTCATTCATGAAATGTGACTTCAGGATTAAGTTGCCCTGTTTGCGTACTCAGCCGCGTGTATCCATACGGTTGTAATGTGGAGATTAAAAAAGTTCTTGACTAAATGCATTTGGTTTTGGATGAGAATAACATTGTCCTTCCATGAATTCAGTTAAACATTTGTGATCTTATTTTACATTATCTGAACACTTGCCTCCTTGTATCTTACTGCTCGTGTATGATTGATCAGTTCCATTGTAAATGTTTCCATGCCTGATCTGAATGGAGAATTGAGTACACTTGCAAATGGTGATAGAACTACTGTGTGTTTTCAAGGGAGTGGTTTAACCCACCAGGTGTTGCATGCTAAGAATCAGGAGATCTTCAAGTACTACTGTAGGATGTGGTCTGCAACTTATTTATGGACTGCAGAAATATCAAAGGTTTTAAAGTGGCTTAGTATTTTTAGGTTAGTCAGTCAGATCACGTAGACTGCATGTCAAGTCAGGTCACGTCCTTGTAGACCGCATGCTATAGTAGCACCAATCAACAACAGCAGCATTGATGCCCTTCATCTTAGGAGGAAATGTCTTTTATGCATGAAAAGAAAATCATTAGATTCAGAATCTTGTGTTCTGTGTTACATCTTGTTGTTAATGTTCATACAGTATGTGATTTTATAAGTTATGTATAGTAATTGTTGATTAAGTTTTGTGTATCACTTCTACAGGCCACATGACACTCCCTTTGAGGATGGTACGTTCAAACTTACGTTGGAATTCACAGAAGAGTATCCTAATAAGCCCCCTACAGTTAAATTTGTGAGCAAGATGTTCCACCCTAACGTTTATGCAGATGGTGGGATATGTTTGGATATTCTTCAAAACAGATGGTCCCCAACATACGATGTAGCTGCCATTCTTACCTCCATACAGGTTAGTTGATTATTTTTGTACATACAGGACAGTATGCTTAGGTAGTATGATTCTTCTCCAGCTGCTTATTGTGTCTACTGTCATGTGTTGCATAAACTACAATAATTTCAGGGATTTGGGTTTGCATAGAGACGATAAAGTTTACCTCAATAAGGACACAACATTGTGAATTAGTGAAGGGAGTTGGAAAATGAAAAAAAAAACTAAGACACTGTTTGGAGAATTGTACCTTTTTACTTTTCCTGTAGCAAGGTATTCATTGATAGTAGTTAGCTTTAGGGACAGAGGCCGTCATCTGTGGAAGTTTCATGCTCCTTGCATTCAATTGTTACACATTAGGGGGGAGTAGGGAATCCTTTGCCACCGGTGTAAGGTTAAGTCTAGTTACAATCAAATGATTGTGTAATACACACTATTGATTGTATTACATCTACTTTTGCATGTTGCTGGTGATTATATTGCAGTACAGTAGCAAAATGCTGAGCAAATGTATTTTAACGGACAGTATACAGTTATTCATGATTATATTGCCTACTGTGCCATTCTTAATTATTTAATAGAAATGTATATTTCAGGAAATTTTGGATATTTTTTGATGAATTGTTCCAAAATTTTAAATGTTTGTTGACAGTCGTTGTTGGACGAGCCCAACCCAAATTCTCCGGCAAATAGTCTGGCGGCACAGCTCTATCAGGAGAATCGTCGTGAATATGAAAAACGTGTAGCTGCTATTGTAGAGCAGAGTTGGCTCAATTTTCAGGTAAGTGCTACCATAGATTAGCCATATTATACTTTGAAAGATATATAATAACACTTGCTGAGTTTCTTCTTCAGTGATGTATGTAAATGGGGAAAATTGAGCTACAGTAGTGTTATTCTTTGTACAGTACAATACCACTTTAATATTGATGTTTTATTTTTGATGAAACTTCATAAAATATTCAAGTTCATGTACAGGTATTGTATGTATTCTGCATCAGTGGAATATTAAGGAACCAATTACTGTACTGAACAGTGAAATTTACTATTCTGATGTAACAGGTTAGGGAATGAATATGTACTTTTATAGGATGAAGATGAAGGAGAAGACATGAAGAAGGATACCTAGGGATTGGAGGTGATGTCTGGAGGGCTGGCCCACTAGCCCTTGCCTTTGGGCTAGGGACCGTCACACTGTCACACACCCTGCTTTACACCACACCTGCCCATTCCTCACCCTCTCACCCACCCACCCACCATAACTCTATACTCTGAGGAACTTTTGTTTTCTCCAAATAAAATATTTGATATTGGTGCACCAAAATAAGTAGAGGAATCTTAGGGTTTGATCATAGCCCAAGTATCTTGAAAGGTGAATTTATATCATTACTAATTATCAAAGTCAGATATACTGTATTAGCTTTACTAAAATCAGCTCTTTTTGTACACAAAGGTACATGTGATGTCATTTGTTGTGCAGATGATGAAGCTGTCAGGTGTAGTGTGTTGTAGGGTAGGTGGCAGACAATCAGAGGAGAGTCTGAAAGATCTATCTTGTGTGGCCAAGTAGCTTGTTGGCTGCCCACGTTCAGGCTTGTCTTTAATACTTGGCTATTTACAGTGCTGCAGCCAATATAGTTTAATACATTTTATTTCGTTTTCTGCCTCTGCAAGTTCTGTGAGCCTTATCATTATTATCATGTAAGCTGCATAAAGTGTTCATTATTTCTGGTAAGATATTTTTGAAGTGATAGATGTGAGTGTTGTGTACTTTCTCTCCTCACTGGACAGTACATGTGTGGATATGTATCATTATATTCAATTCATATGGCTGTATGCAAGGCTTTTGCTTCTGTGCAGATCCCAACTGCAAACTCCAGACTCTTAACCTAAGACTGAATTCATAGATGATTCTGGGATTCAGCAGGAATGCATGTAAGTATTATACTTTACATTAACTGTTTGGCCAAATCTTTGCTTACACTGACAAATAAAAAATTTGGCCTTATATGCTAGTATGGATCACTAGTGTGCTTGATATAAGAAAATTTTGAAGGGGGAATAGTCCTTAGTTATATATACATTTTATCCCATTTTTCATTACACCAAAATTTAGTTTGGAGACCATGAGGGGTGTATGCTGAAGATGCAGCCCAAATACGTACATTTTGTGAGCAAATGAAAAGTGACTTTCAGGTTTTATCTGTACCAAGTGATAACACCTTTGTTGTATGAAGCTTACATATTTGCATAATTTGGTGCTTTTTTTCCTTTCTTGCAAGTCAGTGGTATTGCTTTTCATAATTTTGGATACTGAAGGCAGTGTTTAATAGGGCACTATTTGTATGTAGTGGCATATGTCATTTCTTGTATTTTTTTCTTTATCAAGAATTTTTTGCGATGTTCTGAAAGATTAAAGGGCTCTCAGTAATGGTTTGTGCATCATTGGCTCTGCCTTGACATGCATGCATATGAATTTAGCTACATGATTGGAGATTACTTTGATGTTCATCTCAGTATATTGAAGAATTGGTCTTTTAATCGGTTTGTAATTGTTCCTCCTTCTCCAGTACAGTACTATCATAAATATCCCACTGGAATATAAAAAAAAAGTTAAGAGACCCCACAAACAAAAGTAGTCATATAAAACCCAAGTTGGGTGTGTGATATATAGAGACTTGAGTCTTTACCAGTGACAGTACCACCAGGGTTAATAAGCTCGGTTCATAACAGTACCAGAGTTAAGAGAAATTTCTCCATCAATTTTTAATTATCCGATAAATACAACATTTCATATTAATTGTATGAAGTGAACTTAGGCATAATTGTATGCTTTAACAGGCTTTATTATTGGTTATATGATTATTAATCAGATTTATCATCCTTGTGGAAGTTTTCAATGCAACTAATAGTTAATACTTGTAAGGTGTTGATGTTTTCTGGGATTAAAATATGTAAGTGAATCATTTGGTCTCTTGAGTTGTTTGTAATGGAACAATTAGTTTGCAAGCTCATGCAGTTTATTTCTAGGACAAAAGTTTAGGTAAAAAAAAAGAAAAAAAAAGATGACATTATGAACCTTAGGTGGCTGTAGTGTAGTAACTGTCCCGCAAGATACTCTGATACCAAATGCTCTTGTTCATTGTTTACAAATGGAGAGTTTTATTCTTTACTCTTTCAAAATATACCACATGTACATGAAATAACTATTGGTCTAGTTAAAGTACACTTGTGTATAAATTCTGTAGAATGAGTGACTTGTCTGATAAAATTCATCCCTGGTTTGGTGTCTCCCTAAGAAAATGTAGAAAACAGATCTTTCAGTTATAGGACAGATGATTTCCTAAGTGAAATAAAAAATTGTGCTTTGTGTATATACTGTAATGTTATCAATAAATTTCATCCATAATTTGGTTCTTAGTGTCCATTTTTCAGCATTCAAGACCCTACACCACCTGACCCAGAATCTCTATACCTGACATTAACCTTGCTGTTCCTTCATTCCATCTAGTTTCTTGTACATGACAGGCATCCACTGCATAGTACCAAGATTTAGACTTCCAACTTTGAACCCAACTACCCCAGGTTGCACCACATTTCTTTCTTGCAGTTTCTCTTAATAGGCAATCACATAGTGTGTAATAGGTTTACTTAGAATTCTAGGTTGTATGAGATGGGTATTGGCCAGAACACGTCTCCCCAATACAGTACTCTCCACAACCAGCTTCAGGGGCACTCTTCCATGTGTACTGTGACACTTAAGCCGGCTGTGGTATTCTACACTACCCGAATTCGGACTTCTGTACTATCAAGTGGAAGTGAGAGCCTGTACAGTGCTCACCCGATACCCTCTGGATAGGCAGCGTACCACCCCCAGAAAATGCATATTAGAGGCTGGTTTTACCAGTGGATGCCCTTCTTAGTGCCAACTTGCTTTTACGGTGGGATCTGAGCATTACATATAGGACTTCCCAAGGCCCTCATAGCTGATAAGGTACCCTCTTACATGTAAGTACCCAAATTTAAATTTTTTGGCCCTAGAACTCTGATCAGTATGTTGAGTAGACGGTTATTACCATGTGTACTTTCTTCAGTACATTCAGAATTACAGAAAATCGTCATAAAAAACGTAGTGGGCGAGTTATTAGGGTTTTAAATTAAACGTATTTTCCCAGTCATTTGGACAAGTAGTTACCCAAATTCCAACTTTTTGAATACAGTTCCTTAATCAACATGGAGAGAGCTACCTATAATGAGGTTTTGAACAAAAGTTAGTTTTCTGGTCCAACTACAAATTACTATGGGTTCCGAGGTTTGATTTTGGTGTTTGTGTTATACTGGAAGTACTCCTGAGCATCCTGATTCTGAATCTATGGTCCACGTTTCAATTGCAGGGTAATTAGTGGTTCTAATGATGCTTGCAAGATATTAAAATAATTACATTATTCCAATGCTAATTACTCACCAACTATGGGTTTTTGCGGGGCGATTTTGGCGTTATTTTGGAATTCCTATACTTTATTAGTTAAGCCCATTAAATTCCAATTCTGAGAGAAAAATATATTTTGGAGGTTTCGGCCAAAAATTAGATTTCTCTGAAAGTCACAGCATAGGTACTCACGAGCATGCTGATTCCGAATCTATGGTCTACAATTCGATTCGTGGGTAATTAGTGGCTGTAATGAAGCTTAGAAGATTTTAATTACATTATTTCAATGCGAATTACTCCCCAATCAAGGGTTTCCGAGGTGCAAGTTTGGTGTTTGTGTTATACTGGAAGTACTTAATTAGTTACTCCTTAAATTTGAAGAGAAAAATATATTTTGGTTGAAAAATTACTTGGGCTTAATATTTTTGGCTGTTTTGGCCAAAAATTAATTTCTCCGAAAATCGCAGTATAGGTACTCCCGAGCATGCTGATTCCAATCTATGGTCTACGATTCGATTGGTGGGTAATTAGTGGCTATAATGAAGCTTAGATGATTTTAATTACAGTATTTCAATACAAATTACTCCCCAACTATGTAAGTACCCTAATTTAAATCTTTTGGCCCTAGAACCTTGATCAGTATGTGGAGTACGTACATGTTTATTACCATGTGTACTTTCTTCAGTATTCAGAATTACAGAAAATCAAAATAAAAAATTTAGTGGGCGAGTAATAAGGGTTTTAAATTAAATGTATTTTCCCAGTCATTTGGACAAGTACCGTATATACTCGTGTATAGTGAGAGTTTTTAAGACCAAATTTTTAGGCAAAAAATTGGGGGTCGTCCTATACATGCGTAATAGTTTTGTTAGGTTGAACCCGTGCATGATGGGAAGGGCGAGGAGCAACTTTTAGCTTCAGACATGAAAAATATTTACCATTTACTGCTTGTAAACAAGGAAACGTAAAATATGTACCAATTAGTAATGAAAAGTTGTGCAGTTCCTTCAGTAATTGAAGCTCACCAACTTACAATAGGCTAAATTACCTTACAACGTGTTTTCAGTAGTCTATGTTGAAGTTCTTAGCACAGGCTAACTTATCATATCATATATACGGTATCACAGTTCTCATTGATCTACAAAAAATACCTGAAATAAAAACCTTTTCGATATTTCACACTTAATATAATACCCGGTAATCTACTTCAACCTCCTATTGTTTACGACGACGCATGACGCACCACCAGCTGTATCAGCTAGACGGTACACGTGTTTTTCGAATCGTTTTCAGTTAACTGTTACATCACACGTATATTTTACCTAAACTGCGCCTGAATGAATATATTCTCGGAAATAAATAGTGGTTTTGCTGAAACGTGATGTATTTTAATGTAAAATAGGATAAAATACATGACGAAAACAAAAGATTTTACCTAACCTTCCGATGTTCAAGAGAAGTTACTCGTTTTTTAATAGTTTTTGGTTAAAATGTTGTTATATTACAATGGTATTCTATTCATACTGTGCTTAATATAATGCATTCACGGAAATGTAATATTTTTGCTGAAATGACGTACGTATTACAGTGGAAAGTGGGATAAAATCGTGACGAAAGCAATGACTTTCGCTTTCTTTCGTTCAAAAGATGTTACCGTAATCGCTTTTCGAATGGTTTTCAGTTAAAAAACTGTTGTATTACGATAATATTCTATCCTAATTAACTTGAATAAATACGATACCATATTTCTGAATATTTTCATTAAAATCCATCAAAATCATTTTCCTTGTCATCGTCTGCAGCACCAAACAGCTTCTCCCAGTCCTCTCCTTGAACAGGGCTAGAGGGTACACGTGTTTTTCGAATCGTTTTCAGTTAAAAAACTATTACATCACACGTATATTTTACCTAAACCTTGCCTGAATGAATATATTCTCGGAAATAAATAGTAGTTTTGCTGAAACGTGATGTATTTCAATGTAAAATAGGATAAAATACATGACGAAAACAAAAGACTTTACCTAAGCTTCTGTTCTTGAGATGTTACTCGTTTTTTTAAGTTTTCGGTTAAAATTCTGTTATATTACAATGATAGTCTATTCATACTGTGCTTTATATAATACATTCACGGAAATGTAATATTTTTGCTGAAATTACGTGTGTATTACAATGGAAAGTGGGATAAAATCGTGACGAAAGCAATGACTTTCGTTTTCTTTCGTTCAAAAGATATTACCGTAATACGCTTTTTGAATGGTTTAGTTAAAAAACTGTTGTATTACAATAATATTCCCTCCTAATTGACTTGAATGGAAATATACAATATTTTTGTTGAAACTACCAGCGTTTCAGTGTAGTGTCGTAATAATAAATGGTAAACAAATATGCCTTCGGCACTCGTGTTACATGCACGGCGAGCCTCAGTTTATAGGACGTAGAGCGTTTTGTTGTTCCATTACCCTCAAAAACATGGGTCGAACTATAAACGAGGAATATCGTAAATTAACGATTTCAGGGTGGACCTATAAACGAGGCGGGGTTATAGACGAGTATATACTGTAGTTACCCAAATTCCAACTTTGAACACAGTTCCTTAATAAGCATGGAGAGAGCTACCTATAATGAGGTTTTGAACAAAAGTTAGTTTTCTGGTCCAATGGAAATTAACATGTTAAACCAATCAATTTCAATTTTACTTTTCAAACTGAACAATAAGGTTAACACCCCTTGCCATTCTTTTTCTCACATGTTGAATTACAATACTATATATGTACTGTATAATACTTCCCCAAATTTTAGACCACAAATCTTGACCACTGTGTTGAGGACTCCTGGTACCTATTATGAGATGGTGAGCAAAATACTGTACATTCTGAGATTATAGCCAGAACAGCCACGTTCCCAACCCCTCCTCAAACATATACACATTATTCTTAAGGAAGAATATTTATTCAAATGAATGTGTAGATAACCTGCTTCAATAAAATATGTACATACGATCTACACTTAATTCTCCAAAGAAACATTTGTTAAGTAAAAAAAGCACCAAAGCTGATGAACACTTTACTAAAAGCATATTTCTGCTGTAATGTGAACACAATAAGTAATTTCTGTACAAGGTAAACTTGAGTATTGATAATAATGAAAACTAACATTACATTTGCTATACAACTGTACATTTGGCTAGCATGCCATAGTGCCATTCAGAACCAGTGTCAATATGCCAGTAATATTAAACTATTTACCGTAATGCTTGCGTACCATGATACAGCTCAGTACCTCGACCTCAAGATATAAACCCCTTACATTTGTAGCTCATCCAGCACATAATGGACAATTACAACACTGTCCTCTCCTATATAACATTGAATTGAAGGTTCTGTATTTCTTTGAGCAAAGATCAACATAAGCAGACAAACACTGAACACACCTTGTTATCTTGAGATTTATTTACTGGAACTTGTACCATCCTTCCAAGAAAAGTTTGTGGCTATCCAACAAAGTCCCTATTGCACCTACAATAATTAATACTATAATTGTTCCTTGCTATACTGATATTGTTATAAGCAAAACATTATTGTTAATTATTGCAGGTGCACAGTGACTTTTCAATCACCTAGTAATAACTGGCCTTATCACTGCTTGTTCTATCTGACTGGAAATTTACACAATTTACAAGATCATCAAATAACAAAACTACCTGATACTTGGGCACTGCAGTGAAATAAGGCATATAAGTGTAATCATTTACATATATTAGTAGTTTCAAGATGCAGTCATCTTTCAAGTTTGGAAAATGCAATGATAAAAAATGTCTGCCCTCTTAAAACACCAAGATCAACTGTAATAAGTTAAAGTACATCACAGAAAACTGCTGACATCTATCTCCTGCTCAAATACTTCAACATCCACATGGCAACACCCATGTTTAAACTGTGTTGGTTTAAATGCACTGTATACATTTGTTAAATTCCAAAACT